AATTTTGCCATTAGAAACTGTAAAAAACTATGACTACGAAAAGACAAAGCAAACTTATAGTTCTGGGGCTGGGTACAATCTTCTGTATTACGGCGTGTAAGAGTTCATAGTAAGGCGATTTTTACAGTTCGAGAAATTTATTAAAATCGCAATTGTTTAAACAAATAAGATACAATTTTTCTTTTTTTTCTTAAAAACATTTTTTCTTATAAATTAGCTGATTTTAAAAAGAAAAGGTCTTTTGCGAATTTTTCGAAAAATCCATTAAATAGAAGTTACGAATTTTTAAAGGTTTCTTTGCCAGCATAACCTTCATTGCTTATAACTTTCAATCTAATTATTATTTTTACAACTTTTAATAACGTACTTCTTCTGTTAGTATACCTTTACCGATGTCACATAGATTTGTGGTTGTTGTTTGCTTAAGAAGTCGTTTCTAGAAAATGAAATGCTTATAGTATATAGTTTTTGTTACGAAGAAACACAATTTAATTTAATGATTTTTGATTGATCTTTTGGGGCTAACTTCCAAATAAAAAAACACAACACGTTTTTATAGAGTGACGCTTCGTCGACTGGAGCTTTGACTGCTTCAAGATTTAATACAAACACTGAAAGAAATTGGTTTATTTAATTAATAGTAAAATGAATACTTTTTTACCTTCATTTTCCCTCGCATTCATTAGAATGTTTTTGATACATTCGGATCTAACATCACCTTCAAACAATAGAAATGTAGAGGAACAATTTTTTTACTTCCACCCACACTGCATGACATCTGAATGGCTAAGGTGTATGATAATTTTACTACAAATGGCCTACATTAGGTGATCTCAATATCTGCTGGTGCAATTTGCTCTTTCAGGGTGGCAACTTACAAGAATCAAAGTCCAACATTTTCTTTGAACTCATCTGTGTCATTGGTTAGGGTATAGTTTATTATAAATAAATGCAATCGTGCCTCATTCACACAAAAGGTATCGAATGATCCATTGGCTTTCGTTTTGTGTTAACTACAAAGGAATTCCTCTGTTTTTTTGAAGTACTGAAAAACATTTGTCACACAATGGTTTTTGCACAGCTGCGAAAGCTCTTTATTACTGTGTTTAGAGCATAAAAGTCTTGATTTTCCAAAATCCTTGAAACAACGGATTAAAATCGCAGCCATTAAATGCCTACTGTACAATAATTCTCCTAGTGACTCATAAATTGTAGTAACATTAGCATAGTAGCCTTTACTCCTGGTCCGAAAACGCAGCCAAACTTTGGATCTTTCTGCTATGTGCATCATATGACAAATGTATTTGTACTTGAGGACGCTGTTACTTTTTATTACTGCCTGGAGTTAAAAAAGTGCCATTTTAGTATCGACTTCCTCGGGTTCTTCGCATGTTAATTTTCTTAATATCTAATACTCAATTTTTCCATCAATTATCTGGTAATATGTACATCTTTTAAATAAAATACGCATGTGCACTCTTAGTTATCTAAATATTCTACTACCGATTTTGTGGCCAGATGGCGTATCGGATAATTTATGAACTCTTTTTTTAACTCAATACTCTTTAGTTTAGCTCTAAAACCAGCTGGACGATTTCGGTTGGAAGCTGGAATAAAGACACAATCACAAAATACTTCATAAGTTGAGTGTGATGTTTTTTTTATAATGTTCCTTTTTTTGTGTGTCAAAAATTGTACTAATTATTAAAGTAACATCACCTACAACAACGAAATCTCTTAAATAATTCTCCTTTACGGGTGTCTTCAAGACAATGATTAAGTTTTTTATCAAAAAAAACCACCGTACCTGGGACAAAAATCTTGCCAAGCTTATGTTTGCCTACAATACAAGCAAACACCAATCCACAGGCTCGAGCCTTACTATGCTTAACCTCGGCTGCAAGCCACTCGCTCCAAACGATTTGAAGCTGTGAGCAAAGAACATAGTGATGAGCTCCCTTAGTCAGCAAGCCATCGACGAGTGAAAGGATCAAATGACATGCCTGATACTCCTGCATGAAAATCCTGATACGTCTGCAAGGCTACGAAACAAGCTCATGAGTACTTTTTTAAACTTTTTTTTCACTTTTTTCGTACGACATTTCGTATACTTCATCAACTACTAACATAAGTTCTCTTTATCTTTTGTTTCATCTATTTCTCACTTACCTTTTTCAGTAATGAACCAAGCCCCTGAGTACGAGATTTAAGGACAGCTGGTGGGTTCACCTTCTGGCGAAAAAGAGAAGCTCGCCGAGATGATTGCGTCTACGAATTGTTTTCGTTTTCCTTGATCAATGGAAGCAGAATTTGACAAAAATTTTAAAAACTTCTTAGGAATATTTTACTGAATTTCTTTGGAACTAATGCAACTGATGCAATACAAATATTCTATTCATCACCAATACAGCTGTTGTTAAGGGATGTTCATGTTTTTCCACAGATTTTTCCACAAATATTGGTCAAAGCAGATTTGTCTGATTGATTTATCATGCCATGCTAGTAGTGAAAAGATTTTTAAACTGGCGTGTATGAAAGGTAAAAAACTCTAAGCTTAATTAGAATGCGACATCATCTATTTATTTGTGTTATATTTTTATTTGCCTATATATTACTTACTTATGTTACGTCCTATATCTTTTGCATTTATTTCTTTATATCGTTTATTCATATGTATGTACTGGATTCAGTTGTATAAAATTAATACGCGTGCGTTAAATAAATCACAAAAACTTAATTGTAATTGTTTAAAGGAACAAGTTTTATTGCATTTTCCGTGTTTAGTAGCCCTACAGAAGATAAGGAAATTCCGATCGGTTAAGAAGACAAATCTCTGTGTAATTTGATTTTTTGCATCAAAGATACAACATGTGTGCAAACCGCTCGTTTTCATGACAATTAAAGGACAGACGTTTGATACTTTTATCTCCGAATGTTGCTTCTGTTTCCAATTTTTGAAGACTATCGTTACTGCATACACGCCTAAATCTGTGAGAAATTCTTACAATTTTTTCTCTGTTAGTTAATTTTTCTTTCATACTGTCAAGGTTTATGTTTTGATGCAGTAAAATTTTGCCATTAGAAACTGTAAAAAACTATGACTACGAAAAGACAAAGCAAACTTATAGTTCTGGGGCTGGGTACAATCTTCTGTATTACGGCGTGTAAGAGTTCATAGTAAGGCGATTTTTACAGTTCGAGAAATTTATTAAAATCGCAATTGTTTAAACAAATAAGATACAATTTTTCTTTTTTTTCTTAAAAACATTTTTTCTTATAAATTAGCTGATTTTAAAAAGAAAAGGTCTTTTGCGAATTTTTCGAAAAATCCATTAAATAGAAGTTACGAATTTTTAAAGGTTTCTTTGCCAGCATAACCTTCATTGCTTATAACTTTCAATCTAATTATTATTTTTACAACTTTTAATAACGTACTTCTTCTGTTAGTATACCTTTACCGATGTCACATAGATTTGTGGTTGTTGTTTGCTTAAGAAGTCGTTTCTAGAAAATGAAATGATTATACCTTTAAATTTTTCGGTGTGGANTTTTTAACCTCCATAGATTTTACAGAAAAAAATTAAAATATTAAAAATTATAACACTGCACTAATTAGGCTACAGTTGCCTGGACTGATCATTGATAATACAGCAAAGTCTAAAACTGACTGTGCGTTAATTAATACTGCAGTTGCCAAGTTGTAGATTATAACAAATCTGATTCCATCTGAAAGTATCAGCACATCTTAAGGTAAGATTTAAGCCTAGGCAAGTTAAAAATAATGCAGTATCAGTTCAGTAAAACGTAGTTTAAAATTGTAAAAACATTTTTCCATAGAATTTAAGAAACTTTTTACTTAAAAATTCAGGAGTTAAAATGCATTTATTACTTTAGTCTTAAAACTGTGCCAAGAAGTAAAAAAAAAAAATATTTCGGCCAAAACAAAATTCTTTAAAATTTGCCCACAAAAACTGATATCAACGATACATTGGCAAAAAATTAAGTAAAACACTTTCGTTTGTTTTATTCAAGGGGTAAAAAAGCATTGACTAAAAATAGATGTTTCCATAAACCTTCATCATTTTTAGACACCTATTATTATAATAGCATAACCTAACTAAGATGAAGAGAGAAAAATAGAAAAGTTATGGCCCTTTGTACACAGTACGTTATAGGTTATATAAATGCAATTGTGTTAAAATACTAAAGTTTCACGTATTTTTACTAATTGACCTTTCAAAATAATTCATTCACTATCTTATAATTTAGCAAAAATTTAATTGTAAAAAATTTATAACTTCTGTCAAGTAAAAACACAAAAAACTCCTGAAATTTCATGATAAAAAATTTGTAAGAGCCCTGAGTAAAATTGTACTTCTTTATGATGAAATATTATAGAAGCTTTAAAACCATTTCCAACAAGCAGCTGCAGTAGCACAGTGGCTTACGCTGCGCTTCGTATAGTACAAAAGTTTGGTATCACGTGTTCACGAGTTCGAGATCCGGTTTTTACTCGCTCGCATCACTAGGAAATTGATTTCTTATGTGCGTTTTTTCAACTGTAGTCTGATGATTTTAAAGTCATGTAAAATAAGATTATCTTATTGCAGTGTAAGTAATTGAATTAGAATTCATCGAACACGGTTTTTTAATATGTCAATAATGATAGTGCATGTATGCAGAGTAATAGCGGTATAGAGCTGTTAAACGTACAGTTTGTCTAAGTGGCTGTGAAATAAATATTTCAAATACCGTTACCATTAATAACGTAGTTTTTTTTTTAATGAGCAGCGATTTCTCGAAACTTTTTTTAGATGATAACGTTTGTGCTTATTGACTATTGTCTTAATAAAAACCATTTTAATTTTAATCCCATCAATAATAGAATAACAGACATTTCTTGTATTAAGAAATACTATTGAACTAAGTAATATTATTTGTTTTATTTATACTATATTATTTTCTTACATGTATGTTTGTAAAAAATATCATTTTTACAGGGATAATTTAGAATGGCTTGCTCGAGCAACTAACTGGGCTAAACTGACAGCTACTGCGTCGTTAGGTGTCATTCACCGTGGCCATGAACAAGAAGCCTTAGCTTTAATGCAATCGTATTTGCCGAAAGATACAGGATCTGGAGCAGGTTATTCAGAAGGTGGTGGTTTATATGCCTTAGGACTTATTCATGCAAATCACGGGGCATCTATTACAGATTATTTATTAGGCCAGTTGAAAGATGCACAGAATGAGGTAAGTTTAAAATAACTGTAAACAAAGAAGTAAAGTGATCAGTTATTATATATTTGGGGCAAGGTTGAAGAAATAATAACATCTGGAGTTTTTGTATTTCTAAGTTTAATATAGCAACGTTTTTCTTACCATTTGTGTCAACCTTATCAGACTAAACAAGATATTAATTGATAACATACGCACAACGATACGACTTACGATATAAATTAACTACCTTAGGTACACGAGCGATAGACTAAGTCCCATGATAAAGCTTTGCGGGGCTTATACAGTTGGCGAGACGACGGTATATAGACGAGGGCATTGCTGTCAATGGAAACATATGAACTTTATAACGAGTGGTGTGATTTGTTGAAGTATAGTACATCTTCCTTCTTGAGAATGTTGTTACTGTCTGACTTTAAATAAAGTATTTTGAAAATAGTGCGTTTGTTATAGTTGGCTTCTTTGTCGAGTATTTTTACATTGTCATCAAACTTATGGTTGTATGTAGTTTGATCTTCATAAACGACAGAGTCAGGTTTTTCGTTCTTGCTGTGTTAGTTTATCCGTATTTCAGTGGCTCGCTTTGTCTTACCGACAGATGACGCCAGACAGTTTTTACAGTGGAATTTATAAACAGTCTCTTTAAGAATGTCCATTTAATCTTTTTTTTACACGAATGACGCCGTTGATCTTATTATCTATAAAAGGGTATGTGTGGATGTTGTAAGGTTTTAGTATGGTTGATATTTTATCAAAATTGCTACCAGTATTTGGTATACCGATTTTGTATGTAAAATGAAAATTCAGAGTAGTCTAACAATCTGTAAATTACGGCGGTATGAATTAAAAATGTTTAATATTTGATCAATGTGGTCTTTATTAATAAAAAGTAAAATTTCATCGACATAACGAAAATAAAAGATTGGGTTAATGTTATAATTATAATCATAGTTATTGTTCAATATGAAGAAACAGTTATTTTCCAGGTCATTTATCACAAAAAGTGGTGAAATGTGGGATTACATGAGAGTGCCGAAAATTTTTCGAAATAATTTACTTTCGAATTTCGTTATAGTAATTCGACATTTATTCGTTATATTTAATGCGCGTCGGTTGATGCTCCTTAATACTGAGTCTACAGAGACATTAATGAACAAGGAGCTGACATCTCAATGTATTGTATTGTATTGTACTAGGATTTCAACGTACATCCATTGTAGGGTTTTTACGTATCCTTTGTCCCTAATCAGTACCTTTTCGTGTTTTTTTCTTATTTCCGTAATTACCGTCCTTTTTCTCAAAGTACGCGAGTCTTTCGTGCAGGCCCCTTTGCAAAGTTTTCTTCAGACGACTCGGTCATTCATCCTACTGGTTACTATTTGCAGAGCCCAGTGATTGTCTCAAGCACATCCCAGCTATTGTGAAGCTTAATGAAAAGATATTTTCCAATTTATACTCGCTGTGCTGACTTTTTTATAACCAACAGTTTAGTTTTCCCAATGAGTTGACTAGATGTTGGCTTTCCTTCGAATAGGAGGCCTTTGGAGGTCTGGAAATCATCTGAGAAATCGACTGTTTGTTTAAAAAATCGGATAAGTGATGTTTTGGCATCCTAAATACAAAATCCCATCGGAAAAGACCGAGAAAAAATTCTCGATGGTTTTCGACAGGATTTAAACCCAGAACCCCCCGAGTATCTCTGGCTAAAATGCTGGCACGCTAACCACTAAGTCGTTGAAACTCTTGTTATCTCAATGTATTAATATGAGATTGGAGAAAGGTTGTATATTTTTCAACTTCTTTTTTAATCTAAAACTATTCTTGATGCGTGATTTTGGAACATTAACTGAATTTTTAAGTTTGTTATTAATGTGTTTGCTATAGAGTATGTGGGACTATTGACTAGAGATATAACAAGACACAAAGAGGCATCGACCTTGTTTTGAGATTCTGTCTTATCTTCAAGAATACTAGTAAAGTCATTTAATATTTTCAAGCTTTTCTGCCTTAGGTACTCTGCTTTTGCTTCTCGTGTGGTTACTTAATTTTTGGAGACGCTTCGACTTTCTAATTGGCTATCATTGAAGTTTTTTTTTTTTTTTTTTTTTTAATTACGAATTTCTCATTTAGTTGAACGAAACGTTTTTTGGATCGACTTAATTTGTTTCAATTAGAAGAAAATATTTAACAGAATGAGGATAAAGAAATTTTCTTTGATTCAAAGAATTGGGTTGCTCAGTGTATTTCTCCCTGACTAAAAAGTCACTGTCAGTATCAGTGTCACCTCAACACAAGATACAACATAAAGTGCTTTGAACTGTCGAACCATTAAATAACGTAATCTTTTTTTGTTATTCAACATTTTGTGAAAAAATGTGATTTCCAAATAAAATCTTACAGATAAAATTGCACGTTCTGCTCTGGCAATCTGTGGATTGGTCATGTTTTAAATGTAAGACCTAAAGTTTTACAAAAATCAGCCACTTGTTGTACTTGTCCGAGTTAGATATCTCCTTGCCTCTTAAATCTTTTATGGGTTGGTCCTAATCTTCTCATATCCAACCAACCAACGTTTTCTCTTAAGTCGCACAGCTGCAGGTCTTTGTAGCGTGCTATAAATCCCATTACTTTTGTTGTATCTCTTCCTTCCATCCTCAATCTCTACCCTATCCGTGTACGAGTATATCAACGGTAAGCCTATGCTCTTTCTCACTGTCCTATAACATTGTTTCTCCGTGGTCTAAACAGTTTTTTCTATTTCTGAATTATCCTTATATTTGCTATTTCCATCACCCTATAGTAGCCCTATGTATACTCGTTGTCTTACATTATTTTGCTACTATCTTTCTTTTCATATTTTTTATCCCTCAGCATAATCGTTCGTATGCCATTAACAATTTCTTTTCCTTTAGTTTTAGTCTTAATTTTTTTACCTCTTTAGGGTCGTGGCAAAACTTTATCCACATTTTGTTATCTCTGATGACTCCTAACTCTTGCAACCCACTGCCGCTTTTTATAATATCCTTACCTACGTGAATTTCTGTTTTATTTTTTTTCTTATGTATATTATACTTCATGCATTGGAGAAAAAAAGTTTAAAGAATTTTGCTGGAGCCTCATTCTTTCCCACTTTGTTCAAATTTTGTAACTTCTAAATATTACTCTGTAGTGATGAAATTTTTTTTAAAATTTTATTATTTCAACTTGTCCTTATCTATATGATTATTGTCATGAGCAGGACTATTATTAACATCCTTGTGGCTGTGTTGGTACCTTTCTCAACCAAATACTAGTTTTCGATGGTGTACCGTATGGCATAGTTTCCTTTCTTAGTACTACCTTGTCCGACTTTCGGGCAATGTTGTCCTCCTGGATGGCTGCCACCCTGTTGACGTCTTTAATCACTTGTCATGTGCATCTGCTTTACGTTGTTTGTTTTGCTCACCTTATTTTTATTTACTTATTATTTTTTTTTTTTGCACTATGGGTGCTTATCGAACACGAAAAGGAAACAAGAAAAAATAATTTCCGCTTTTTTTGCCCATAAACTCACGTCCCAGCTTGAACACCAAAAGTGGATAGTTAACTTGAAACAACTCATTTGATAAACATCCCTCTTATGTAGGAATGATGAAGCTTGGAGGCCTAGAGAAAATGAACAGCCACGAGTTCCGACAACATGACCTTTTATTCGTGCATGAACAACGGAGCAGACGTACGTGACATATTAGTTTGGACAGAAAAAAACCCAGCTCTGGCTACCTCGTACCACTTAAATGGTTAACTTAGTTTGTGTATGTTGCTCGTGCACTGCAAGCTCTGCATTTATGGCTTGAATTGCTAAAGTCTGTATCTATTAAACATCACAACATCAAACTTATAAGAAGTTTTATTTTTGTTAAAAAGTAAACTGTATGGGGGTTATATTTGGTGTAATTTCATTACATTAAATTTTGGTTCTTATTTTGGCAACTACTTAAATAGGTGATCTTTTTTCATATGATTATTAAATTAGTAAATTATCTATATCACACAACATGACGAATAACAATGCCACGGAGGAAAAGTTATAGAAATAAAAACAAAAATGTGGCAAACTATTGACACACTTGAGCAATCTTAAAGTTACGAATTTTTTTAACGGTTACTAAAGCTTTTATTTAAACACTGGCTTCCTAAAAATCTATAAAATCATAGAAGTCCTGATGATTATTTTTTCTGCTGTGTTTTTTGTGGTGGTTTGTTCAAGCATACTAAAACTAGAATCTATAGACATGGACTGTGATAAGGTTAGCATAATAATAGGATTACAATACTCTTTCTGCGTGTAGTTAAAGAAAAAGAGTTTCTGATGTTATTTTATTTTCATTTTTATCACACTTACTTAAGTTTCAAAATTAACTGCACAGACTTTGTAACTGGGTGCCAATGTTGGCTTCAAAAGATTTCGAAATACTTTAAAAACAATTCAAATTGACATAAAAACTGCAAAGATTGATCAATTTTTATAAAATTTTAACAAAAAAACTTTAAAATTAGCTAACATTACATGGCTCTGTATTTAAACTTTTTTTTACCGTTTTTTTTTTCATTAATTTGGCAGCTTTTAAGTTTTTCTCTTCTCGAATTCTATAAAAATCCCTCTGGCATTGACTATCACAAAGTAATAAGCTCGCTGTAGTATACTTTGTTAAACGGCGATGAAGTAATAGCTTATTAAAAATTTCTGTACAAAAGCTTGAATACTTTAAGAGTTCTAATCTTCTAATTCTATGATTCTAATCTCTTCTTTTATGTTCATAAACATTATTAATGATTGGCTCAAATTTTTTCAATGACACTGCCTTCAAAGAAATGGCTAATCACAGTAACATTTAAATTTATGATCATGATTTCTAACTATCAAAAAGTATTAGTGTTAGTGAATTGTGCCTTAATTTTCTGAAATCTTTTAGAAGCAGACAACTTGGACATTCCAACAAGTTGTCAAAAGTTTTACATGACAGTATTTACGG